CACAATATGAACCCTTATGCCTCTATTTATAGTGTAACATAGAGGCATACAAAAAGTTAGTCATAAACATGACATTAACATGAATATAATGAAGGAGGTTATGGAAGTAAAAGGTTACAAGAATAATAGTTATAAAGTTGGAGGTTATGTTTATCTTCATAATAGAGGAAAGTAATGGAGATAATGAGTGAGAGTAACTTCTTGGTGTAGTGAACATCCACACTATAATATTTTATAACAAAAAACCATATTTTTTTGCTAATAATTTATATTCAAAATTTTATAAGAAATCAAATTTGAAAAGTAGTTGTACAAAGAAATATTCAAACAATTTTTTGTTAGAATAATTTTCTTCACACGCAAACAAAAGCGTAACCAGCTTGGACTCAGTCACATCTTCTGTGGTTGAGTTGTCAACTACTAATTACGAGTGCTATTTTCAATTCTAAACCGACTTACTACTAATCTAAATATTCATTTTCCCACCTATAAATACACTCTTCTCTTCTCCTTTTCTTCAAAATAAAAAAGTATTCACAAATCATATTAACATTTCCTCCTCTGTTTGTACTTCTTCTACTACTTTTCTCTTAAAAGCTAAAATGGCACACTCAAAGGTAATCATTGCTCTAATGTTGGCATTAATCGCCGGATCTGCTTTCGCACAAGCACCGGGAGCATCTCCGGCAGCTTCTCCGAAGAGTTCTCCGGCACCGGTGGCGACTCCTCCTCCTACAACATCAACACCACCTATCGTTGCCCCTGCAAATGCTCCTACTACTGCATCCGATTCTCCATTGGCATCTCCTCCAGCTCCACCAACTTCCGAGACTCCGGCGTCGTCTCCTTCCGGTGCTTCTTCTCCTCCATCTATTGCCGCCGCTCCCGGAGGTTCTCCTACTGAATCTCCTAACTCTGCTTCCTTGAACAGAGTCGCCGTTGCCGGATCTGCTGTTGTAGCTATCTTTGCTGCTGCATTGATGCTCTAAATCTATGATCTGTGAAATATTTTGCATTTTTCATTCGCCGGAATTGATGGAGTTAGTGTAGTTGATTTATTTGTATTATATTGTTATTGTTGAATACTATTATACTCTCTCTGTCCACTTTTATTTGTCATGTTGCGTTTTTCGAAAGTCAATTTGATTAATTTTTAAAGTTAAATTAAATTACGTTAATTCGATATTTTTTTTAAAAAAAGTAGATATTCAAAAACTATATGAAAAGTACTATAAGTTACAATTTTTTGCATATCAATATGATGAAAATATACATCGTAAAATGTTGGTCAAAGTTCTTATTGTTTGACTTTAAAAAAGGAAACCATGACAATTAATTGTGGACGGAGGTAGTAGAATTCTTTATTTATTTATGGAAAGCATTATGATTATGATTTCCTCTTTTTCATTTCCTCGTTGTACTTTGTTTTGTGTGGTCGCCCCTCTGTTTATTCCTCTTTGAGCTACGAGGAATTTATTAACATAACCAAAAGAAAGTAAAATAGCAACAATAAAATAGTATGATAAAATATAGGGAAAAAGGTCTGATACACTTCTCAACTTTGCTATTTGGAGCTGATATGCCCCTCGTTATGGAAGTGGTTCATATATACCCTTACTGTTATACAAACGGCTCACATATATTCCTACCGTTACAAAATGAGCTCACATATACCCTTCATTTAACGGAAGTGAAAAAATTAGTTTTAAATTTATATTTTTGACTTTTAATTTTTTTTAAAAAAATTATTTAGGGGTATATATGATTCTTCTAGCAAAGTTCTAGGTATATTTTAATCTTTTTCGTACATAAATTATTTTTTGACTTTTTTGATTATCATTATTTGAGTTTCTTATTCTTATTTTATTTTTTTCTTTCATTCCTTATTGTAAAGAAAAAAAATTAAAACTATTTTTTTTGGATATATTATAATTTAAAACTATTTTTTTTTCTATATTGTAATTTAATTTTTGTATTTTAAAAAAAAAATTGGTCATCTATAACATGTTTTACAAGAAGATTAGTGAACATAAATAAATTTGACCATCAAAATAATAAATCTAAATTAATCATTGAAACAAAAAAAGTCAAAAAAAATATGTTTGAGGAGGATAGAATATACCCATTATGGTGTTATATATATATATTATTTTTTTTAAAAATAAAATAAAATAAAACTAAAATTAATTTTTTTCATTTCCGTTAGAGGAAAAGGGTATATGTGAGCCATTTGAATATAATCAGGGGTATATATGAGTCACTTTCATAAAGAGGGGTATATCAGCTCTAAATGACAAAGTTGAGGGATATATCAGACCCTTTTCCCTAAAATATAATACACAATATATGAGTATGACAATAGATAAAAGTAAGACGATACAAACTCTATCCCTACTAATCTTCTATGCTAATATCTGATATTTTTACTCCTTTCTATTTAGATGTTTTTGATAATATGAAATTGTATCATGTCTTATCTAAATACTTTTTTTCAATATATTTTCCGGTCTACCTCTAATCCTACGTGTATCTCCTACATCAGCCTCTTGCACCACCATGTTGGGCGTTTGCGTATGTCTATTTCATCTCATGCAGTTTTACTTTCCACTTCTTGTCCGTCACAGAAGCTATTCCCACCCTCTCCTAGATGACCTTATTTCTAATTTTGTCACTCCTAGTATATCCACACATTTATCTTGACATCTCATCTCCACAACATGCATCTTAAGCATTTCACTCTATACGAAAAGACCGGTTTAACCATCATTTTGTAAAACTTACCTTTAAGTTTAGGTAGTATCTTATTATCACACAAGACTTAGAGACAAGTCTCCATTTCATCCATGTCACCCCAATGCAATGTGTGATATCATCATTGATGTCCCTACTTTCTTGAATTACAAATTCAAGATACTTAAAACTCTTTCTTAGAAATAGTTTGTGTGGCAAGTCTTACTTTTATGTCAGCTTCATCCACCGCAACACTGAATTTGTATCCATATTTTAGTTTGATCATGCTCAACTTAAATATTTTGGACTCTAAAATTTGTCTCGAAACCTCCAACCTATTATAAACTTTGTCCCGTGTCTCATCAATAAGTGTTATGTCTTCCACTAATAAGTAATAACATATATGCATCATGTTCACTCTTTCTGAAGTAATCTCGTTAACTCATTATGAGTGATATTTCATGTGTGTTTCTCACGCTCCAAATAATATAGGTGTAAAACTAAAAAATGAAGATAGTTTAAGTGTATTTATGAATTTTAACTTTATAATTTATAAGTAAAATTTAAAGAAGATAATCATGAAAAAGATCAAATATGCCATTAAACAATGTGAAAGGAACAAAAATGTCCTATGTTTATAGTTTGGCTCAAAAATGCCCTTACCGTCAATATTTTGGTTCAAAATGCACTTGCAGTCAATACTTTGGTAAAAAATGTCCCTACAGTTGTAAAATGGGTCAAAAATGTCATTTTTCGAATAAATATATATATATATATATATATATAAAAAAATTTTTTATTTTTTATTTTTTATTTTTTTTTCTTGTTAAACACAACTTCTTCATAATAAAAATATCATTAAAGAATACTATTCTTGTTCTTCTAAAATCACTTTAACAAATAAAAATGTAGGAAATATTTGTTTCTTCTTAATCACATTTTAGCAATTAAAATAGAATAACTTCATGTACCCTTTCGACAAATAATATATGTCATATATATAAGATCATAGTATATCCATTATTAATCTATATTTATATAAAGATAAAAAATATTTTCATTTTTTACTTTTTTATGAATTGAAATAAGATAAACATTTGCTAATTTTTTTTAAAAAAATATTATTAGAAAAAGAATGTGTTAAAAAGAAAATAATAATATATTTATTTGAAAAATGAGCATTTTTGGCCCATTAAATAACAATAAGCGTATTTTTGGACCAAAATATTGACGTCAAGAGCATTTTGAACCAAACTACAAATCAATGACATTTTTGATCCTTCACATAGTTTAAGGGCATTTTTGAACTAAAATATTAATGGTAAGGACATTTTTTATCAAAATTATAAACGGAGGACATTTTTATTTTCTTTCACATAGTTTAAAGACATTTTTGACCATTTTTCCAAGATAATATATGCACAATCTTATCCCTCTTTCTCGATGGTGAAATTTTGAAGAAAAGAAAACCAATCGTAATGGAAACCATATCTGTTTGCTAATAATTTCGATTCGAAATTTTATAAGAAATAAAATTTGAAAAGTAGTTGTACAAAGAAATATTCAAACAATTTTTTGTTAGAATAATTTATCTCTTCACACGCAAAACAAAAATGTAACCAGCTTGGACTCGGTCATATCTTCTGTCGTTGAGTTGTTACGAGTGCTATTTTCAATTCTAAACCGACTTACTACTAATCTAAATATTCATTTTCCCACCTATAAATACACTCTTCTCTTCTTCTTTCTTCAAAATCAAAAGTATTCACAACTCACATTTCCATTTCCTCCTCTCTGTTTGTGCTTTTTCTACTTTTCTCTTAAAAAGCAAAAATGGCATACTCAAAGGTGATCATTGCTCTAATGTTGGCGTTTATCGCCGGATCTGCTTTCGCACAAGCACCGGGAGCATCTCCGGCAGCTTCTCCGAAGAGTTCGCCGTCACCAGTGGCGACTCCTCCTTCAACTACATCAACACCACCTGTCTCTGCTCCTGCAAATGCTCCTACTACTGCATCTTCTCCATTGGCATCTCCACCAGCTCCACCAACTACTGAGACTCCGTCGTCGTCTCCTTCCGGTGCTGCTTCTCCTCCATCAATCGCCGCTGCTCCCGGAGGTTCTCCTACTGAATCTCCAAACTCTGCTTCCTTGAACAGAGTCGCCGTCGCCGGATCTGCTGTTGTTGCTGTCTTTGCTGCTGCTTTGATGCTTTAAATCTCTGATCTGTGAGATATTTCGCATTTTTTTCATTCGCCGGAATTGATGAGTTCACGCTTTTATTTATGGTTTAGATATAGTTTCACTACAGCTATTGATTGATTTATTTGTATTATATTTTTATTGTTAAATATTATTACGGGATTCTTTGTTTATTTATGGAGAGCATTATGTTTCTCATTTCCGTTTTAACTTTGTGTTCTTTGAATAAGCAAAGCATACAATATGAAGGAAAAAAAAAATTATTCGAATGAATTATTATAGATTAGTAGATTACACGCCTAAACCAACACAACCGCAATTAATTCATATTTTTTTTCAGAAAGACAAACTTGATTTCTAAAATCTCTATATAATTAATAATAACAAAATCTTAACCATTAATGCAAAAATAGCAAATGTGAATACTGTTTACTGTAAAAACTGTTTATCATCAGTCTTCCATTTATTGACTAGAATATTTTCACTATAAAATATGAAAGGTTATTTTTTTTTACCGTTCGATACATTATTTGAGAAAGATTATTGCATATGTTACTTCCTACCATCCAAATATATGATAGGTTATAATAATATATCCCCTTTGCCCATTTTAATTGTTATTATTGTGTTTTTAAAAGTTAATTTGACTAATTTTCAAGTTAAATTAGATTATATTAATTTGATATTTTAAATATTTAAAAACTATATGAAAAGTATTATATGCAATTTTTTGCATATCAATATGATAAAAAATACATCATAAAATATTAGTTAAAGTTCTATAATTTGAGTAAAAAAAAGGAAACGATTAAAAGTGAAGGTAGTAATATATTTTGCAGATATCGAATCAAACATAAAGCTTTTTACAATACTTTATTCGTATGCTCTTTCATTTATATGCCAATTTCTTTTTTAAGTTCCGTCCAAAAAAAAATCTTGGCCTTTTGTAATTGAAAATGATTTTATTTCAATTTTTTTTATATTTAATATAATTACTTATAAAAACATAAATAATTAAAGGGAAAATTGTATATAATAGCAAACTATTAATTTAAATTAAATGCTATAAATATAGTTTGATTTAATTGTACCTCATAGCATACTGTTGTTATTTCACCCTCTCCTGGTGAATCTCGCTCGCCACTCTCGTTCTCTCCCTTGCCTCTCTCGTTTTTATATAAACGCAAGTGTATAAAGTGTGTTTGTGTTTGTATAAAGCGACAAAAAATTGTATATATACATATATTTTCGTTCCCCTCTCTCCCCTCTACCAGATCTCGCTCGCCACTCTCCCATATCTCGCTCTCTCACTCACCTCTCTCACTTTATACAAAAAACGCAAATTGTATAAAATGTGTTTGACTTTGTATAAAACGAGAGAAAATTGTATATATACATATATTTTCGTTCCCCTCTCTCCCCTCTCCCAGATCTCGCTCTCTCACTCGCCTCTCTCACTTTATACAAAAACGCAAATGTATAAAATGCGTGAAAATTGTATATCTACATATATTTTCGTTCCCCTCTCTCCCCTCTCCCAGATCTCGCTTGCTCACTCGCCTCTCTCACTTTATACAATTGATCTTTTTGTATATGTATACCAAAACAGATTATACAACTGCTTTCTTTTGTATTTGTATAGCGAAATATACATATTTATGTTTGCTAGAGCGCAATTATGCAAACTTTGCTATAACATACAAATATGAATTTTGTGTTTGCTATATGTGAAAGTTGCTCATAATTAAAAAGTGTTGTAGATTATAATTTTTAATTTTTTTTCTTCTCTTTAGTAAATTTAATACCTAAATAATATACAGTAATACATAAATTAAAACACAGAAAGTTATACTATATTTTATATGATTTCTAAATTGTACAAATACAAATAATGTTCGACTACATCATCAAAATAAAAAAACTTTAACCATCAAAATTTGGACTTATATTACTCCCTCGTTCCATTTTATACTACACCCTTTCCTCTTTAGTCCGTTTTAAAAAGAATGTTATCTTACTATAATTAGAAATAAATTAACTTCAAAATATCATTTTATCCTTAATACATAATTTTCAACCATAAAAATATCTACGAATTATTTTAGACCACAAATTCTAAACAAATGGTAATGGGAAGGAGGGGTATATTAATTTGTATGTTGGAAGTAATTTTTTAAGCGGTGCAGTTTTTTTATATTTAAACTGATGCGGTTGTCTCCACGTATTCATGAGGGCACCTTGCCACGTATTGAAGCCAACTGTCACCGTTTCAAGCATAGTTTTGTGTCCATTGTATTTGTACCAAATTTACTGATAATTTGAAACAGAAGAGTCAGAATCTGAAGAAAAAAAACAGAAAGAGTCAGAATCTGAAAAAAATAAAAAGTTGTTGGACCCATGGAGATTCGAGCGGGACAAGTAAAAGCATAAAAATGGTAACTGGCCGGAGCAATGGTGATGAAAATTTCTGGAAAATTATTATTCGATTAGGGCTTAGAAAAAGTAGAATGGGTCGAAGGAAGTTGGAGATAAAGCGAATCGAATCGAAGAGTAATAGGCAAATGTCGTTTTGTAAACGCAGCAAAGGTTTAATGAAGAAAGCAAAAGAAATTTCCATTCTCTGTGATGTCGATGTTGCTGTTGTTTTAATCTCTAATCGTGGCAAGCTCCATGAATTCTCCAGCACCAACAGGTTCTTCTTCATTATTATTCTGTATTTTATTTTATTTTTGCATGTGATATTCAAAGATGTGTTGCGCGCACTGAAATTGTTTGAAACTAAATCGATTTTTAACTTTCAACTATTAATGTCAGAAAACAAGTAAAATATAGAACAACAATGTTTGATACACCAGGAGTAATAACTCGAATCTGAAATCTTAATCATCCCTAATATAATCAAGCAAACACCTAACATAAAGTGTTTGATTAAATAACCCTAAGATAGGCCCCAAAGTGTCATTAGCCACTTTTGGAAAGTTCAATTGTTGCCTAATCATCACTGCTATTGCAGTTTATATGTATCGCGATATGGTGCTTTGTTTCCCTGTCTTCCTACCATTCCAACTCTTGTAGTATAAGATGGAATCCTCCTAAGCATCATTGAACACTTTCTGCTACATTAAGAGCAAACCAAGTGTGTGTATATTCTTAATTTGTCTGGTACGAATGAATGGTATTGTAGGTATAGATTAGGGGTCATCATCCAAATTTGTCCTCAAATTTGTATTACTTGCAACAAAAGTAGATGAATCACTAATGTTTGAATAAATCATGCCCTAGGAAATTCATTAGGAAAATCAATCTTACAAGCGTTTATCATTAATGTGTTCAAGAACTTGGAAGGGCCTTCTTCCCTTAGTAGTAGCTTATTTTCTTCTTTGTGGGAACCTTTCTCCCTTCAAATGACTCCAAACTCATTTTCCGGGTTCAAAAATCAGAATTTTTGACCGAAGTAAGCCACTATTTAAACTAATTCACCAAAATAATATGTTTTTTTGAAAATTTACAAAACTAGAATAAACGTATTTGGTAGTAACGTTTTAGGTATTATTTTATTCAAAATTAATCAATGACAAAAAGACAATTCTGACAGAGTAAACAGATATAAAACGTTATTGTCAAATACGTTTTATTAATTCATTACTCACAGTCACTTTTTAAAGCTAATACGTTATCGACAATAACAACTCTTTAAGTAGAAACGTTCTCGATTTCTCTAATGACAAAATTTTCTCCATTAATAGCACCCCGTCTGCCACCACCAACCTCACTCCCACAACTCCGCTACCAATTTTTACGACGCTCTTCTTTCCAATTCCGACGACGACTTCAAAGGCAACCTTGCGTTTCTCTAAGAATTTTCAGACTTCTTTATTCAACCGTACTTAAAATACGACCAAATAAAAGTGTATTTCTATATATACCATGTTGAATTCACCACATCAATTCAATCTTAAAAGCTTAAATTGATATTAAGTATAGAATTTTCTTGTGTGTCATGTGTTGAGAAATTATTGTTTTTAGTACCATTTTTTTTCTGCTTTTTCATTACAGAGTGATGATATGTAGCAGAGTTAGAATGAGTATCGAAATTTGTAGAAGATTCATTCAGTAATTTTCCAACTAATCTCACTATCGATGAATCTTGTGTCACAGCAGGTCAAGAAGCAAACGTTCTCGTTGCACTTCAAGATGGACATCCTCACTCCAAAACCCTAATGCTATTACTATGAATACTCAATTTTAAATAGATAAAGATTCAAAATTTAACAAGAAAGAGGCGCTTGAAAAAATGAATTACGTTCTTCCTGAATATTAGAGATTATTTAACAAGAGTGGTGACAGTAACTAATGGAGTAAATTGGATTCTAAAGAGTCATTATTGTCAGTAACATTTTAGCCTTAAAACGTGACTGTCAATAACGAATCAATAAAACGTATTTGATAGTAATGTTTTATATATGTTTACTCTGTCAGAATTTTGTCTTTTTGTCATTGATTGTTTTTGAATAAAATAATACCTAAAATGTTACTACCAAATACGTTTAGTCTAGTTTTGTAAATTTTCAAAAAAACATATTATTTTGGTGAATTAGTTTGAATAGTGACTTACTTTGGTCAAAACTTCTATTATCCTCTTTCTTAATTTGTTTGCTTTGGTATTCATTTTCTCAAGTTGCCTTCTAGCATTCTCATGAATTTTCTTCATGGTTTCAACTCTCTTCTTGGCATCTAAACTCACAATAATTTTTCGAGACAAATTCGAAGGGAAGAGAAGATTAAAACCATACACACATTCAAATAGTGACATATCGATAGAAGAATGAATAGTACAATAATAAGCAAGCTCCACTATAGGTAAGTGGTTCTCCCAAGAACTAAGTTTACCCTTACCATGGCCTTAAGTATGTTATCTAATGTCCTATTAACCAATACATTTTAGGCATCCGTTTGCGCGTAACAAGAAGTATTGAACTTCAATTCGGTGCCCAACTTAATCTATAACCCTTTCCAAAGAGCTAAGAAAGTTAGAATTTCTATCACTATTAATGGTGTTATGAACCCTATGCAATCAAGGACATTAGGAGCACATCATCACTTTTATGACATAATATGAAATGATGATCAAAAATCTATCAACTACCACAAAAATGCTTTCTTCCCTTTTTTGTTCTTGCTAGGTAATCAAGCACAAAATTCATGAAAATGTCAAACATGTAAGGTGTTGTGAGTAGGAAGGGGAGTGTATACAATCCCTTAAGGTTGTACCTTAAATTGAGCATTGTTACTTCAACATAACAACAACAAACCTAGTGAAATCCCATATCAAAAAAGGTGTTGTTAAAGAATAGCTAAAGCTTAAGTATACCAAAATGTCTCATTAAACCCTCACTATGTGCCTCTTTAGTTATAAGTTATATTTATCCAAGAATATTGAGGTTCATACACTTTACCATTTATAAGTAAATAACCATCAATCTTAGAAAGCCTTTTTTATTCACCAACCTTTGCTATTTGTCTCTCTTTTCCTTCAATGTTATCATGATTAACGTAATGCTCATATAGCCTAATTACATTTCTTATATGCCTCAACTTGCTCACATTTGGTAGTGTTTTCCAAAGTCAACATAGTTGAGTGACAGTGATGTTGTTCAACCCTCTTTTATGTTCATCATGGTTGTACCTAGGTTTTCCATAACTTGGTTAAACTTGATATCTCATTTCATATTTGAGCATTATCTTCTACTCATTTAAGGTTGATTGGTTCTTCTTGTGCTAGTTGAGGTTCTTGATGAACAAACCCCATTGCTTGCCTTCAAAGTAATTGTTTTGGTGTTCGATATAGTTGTTAGTAGGGTTATCTGTAATGGTGTTGGTATTGTGGTTGTTCATATGGTTATTGTTGGCTATGTTGCTCGGACTTTTAAAAAATATCGATGTGCGCATGTCTGATACTCCAAAAGTAGTGTTTTGTGGAGGATTCGACCTGATGCGACAAATTTTTTTGGGGAGTCAGTGCAGCATAGATTGTTGGTTATGGATAGTGTGATGATGGTGGAGGGCGACTTGGGTAGCCTTAGAAGGGTTCATCTCTTTTAACATACGTGGTCTGACCTTTGTTGCAACACTCGATGTAGTTGGCTAGCTGGTAGGGAAAATAGTCGGGGTCATGCTTGTGCCAACTCCTTGGATTTGTTGAATAGCGTTGTACCTAACCCAAGGAGTAACTTTTCATTCCTCCAAATTGTTCACCCCCGGTTCATGTTGTCAAACGCCCTTCAATTTTATAAGAGGTCTCATAACATCACTTGGGGATGGTTCACCTCTAAAAGTTGAGGTTTGTCCACCGTTAGTTATACGTATGAAGTGAGTAGACAAAAATCCTCACCATTTACCCCCTTGGTGCATATACACCGATTCGATTCAATCAATCACTCATCTATCACTCTTTCAGTTTTGACTTTTTTTTCACTCTTTGGATCTTCATTCAAGACTTTTTTCCAAAATTGCCTCCTAAAATTTCCAAGCCCTAAGCTTCACATGAAGAACTAGTTAAACACAAGTAGAAATAAGTTACCAAGGACCCGTTTGGTAGGCGGTATTAGATAGAATAGTCCATGGATTAAAATTTAGTTCATCTAATACATTGTTTGGTTACTTTATTTAATTTAATCCATGCATTGCTTATTCACCATATGTGGTCTTATCTTATCCCTACAAAATGGAGGGATAACTAATCCAAGGTTTAACAAACCTTGGATAAGACCCCTAAATCACTAAACTATCCCCTTATTTCTTTTCCTAAATTTCTTTTGTAATTTAATTTCCTTTTTATTTATATTGGAATGGTTATAAATGTTATTTTTTAATTCTCCAAATCCGTTTTGTGTAATTTAATGATTTTACTAATATTTTTTTCTCCATTTTTTTTATTCAAGATAGTTTGTCGATTAACCACTTGAACTATTTGTGTTTTTTTTTTAAATAAGCTTTAGGTATTGAACAATTTAAGTAGTCTTAAATCTATGTTAAGTTTAAGATATACTTGACCAACAAAAAATTAGAAATATACCGTGCCATCAATGATCTCCTTAGTTGTACATCACACCTTAAAATTAATAATAATTTTATGTATATATATATATATATATATATATTTGACGTAACTAGTTAAATGGAATATAAAATCCTACAAAAAATAATAATATCTACATTGACCCAATTACATGAAATAAACAATCTTATAATAACACAAGGGTATAATAGGAAATAAATTTTGTAGAGTTTTAAATGAAACAGAAGATTAAGTGGAAAGTAATGAATCAAACACTTGACAAAAAATAATTCATGCACTACTAATCCCTCCATTATCTATGTTTGTACCAAATGACCCCCAGGTGTTAATAGCTTAGAATAACCAAAGAACTTGAAAAAAGTGTTAGAAATCACATATTTGAAACCAAAAATAGTGTGTTGAATTGCCTTATGTGATCACAGCAATGCTGGAATTTATTTTCCGCTACCGTGGAATATTTCTCGTGGCAATGGAGAACTAATCGCTTTGAGGACAATTTGGATTTTTGTCACAATGTTTGAATTTTGGGCACCCAATCTAGATACTCGTTTTCACTACGAAATGTTTTGTAGCAACACTTAAGACCATAGTTAAGCTTTGGCCTTCACAATCAC